GGCTGGCGCCTTAGCCGGTTGAGCTATAGGCGCCGAGCCAACTATTCAATTTTATTATTATTATTATTATTTGGCTGGGGCTGGGTTTGAACCTGCCACCTCCAGCATATGGGACCAGCACCCTACTCCTTGAGCCACAGGTGCCACCCACGCTGAGAGTCTTTAATATGTTTTGCACACAACTCAATTTGCCCACAACTTTTCAAGACTTCACATTGAAAGAGATCTGCATTGGCTAAGGATTATAAATTCAAAAAAAAAAAAAAGAACTGAGTCTCTGTTTCAACAGACCCCACAGGCCGGGGCCCTTCCTAAGGGAGAGTTACACACTAATTGTGTGCCAGACGGTCCCCCCCAAAGAAAATTCACTGTAGTTCTTCCTCACCAGCTCAGACTGAATTTGAGATGAAACCAGAGCGAGGAGGAGCCGGAAGCTAAGAGTATAATCCATCCCTACCTGCATTAAATTACAGGACAGCGTCAGGGTGGGACTGAGAGATAGCGTTGGCTCAGCAAGGAGGTCAGCGAACCAAATGGAATTCATAAACACCGCCGGCTCAGTCAGCGAGCAGAAAACATTTGAAAAGACTTTTAATTAGAAGCCATTTGGCCCAAAGGTGGCTCATCACACCTCAGAATTTTAGCAAGGCACAGTCACATTCACGTGGAATTCCATTAACCTTTTCCCTGAAACTGGGCTTCATAGTGTCAATCATCACTTCTTCTCAAAAAATAAATAAATAAATAAATTTTTTTTCTTTTCTTTCTTTCCTTTTTTTTTTTTTTTTCAAACTGGGTTTTCCAAAATGTTCCCTGGCCCTGTTGTGACTGCCACGGGGACAGGGTAAAGGAGGACAGAATCTGCGTCAACCTCATGACCAGGAAGAAGTGGGCACTGGGGGGTCAGCACCATACCATGGACGGGTTGATTTCACTCGGATCCACATACATCCTGCTGACGTCATAGAGGGAGTTTATATCTCTTTCCTGAAAGGTAAATAAAAAAAGAAAACACAAAAATAAATAGACCAAGCCACAGAAAAAATAAATAGACCAAGCTCCTGAAAGACCTTTTGTAGGTTACATAAAAAGGACTCCAGGATTCCCTGTGATTACTTATCCTTTGGCAGAACAGTTGCAACCTCACAGAATTTCTTTGTGGCATGAGGGTAAAGACAGTAAGATCTTAAAGAAATATTCCCCCAAACTCGAAAACTACCCAAAACTCAGAGAGGGCCGTATCCTGGCCTACTGTGTGCCAGATGCCACGTTCCTTTGCAAAAACACAAACCCTAAGATCCAGTGGTGTGCTGGAGCAAGGTCACAGCTCGCAAAGCCCCCTGCAGAAGCCTCTCCCTAACTGCAGCCCCATTGCATGACAGCCTGTGGGTAGCCTGAAATTGGCCACCAAGGAAATATCTACAGCTTGGACAGTGGCAAATGCTACAAAACCAGGGCCTTTCCCCTAGACAGCTGTTTAAACGCCCACCAGTACATCACTGCCAAAATCCATCCCCGTCCCCTTCTGCTCCTCTCTCACTCAGCTATCCTTCCGTCCCTCCTGTCCCCCCAGAGTGGGCAGGCGCCAGCCAGGTGTCTTCTTCCTCCCTCGACATCTCCCCAAGGCTGAGTCACCCCATCTTCTAGGTTTCAGCTCACATTTTAAGGCACTTTCCCTGATCACCCCCGACCTGATGCAGCGCCCTCCCTTTTCACTCCATCCTATATTATCTGCTTCATTTTAATTCACACAACCTGAAAACATCTAATTTAGCTAACTGTATGTTTCCTATATTTCCTCTAGAGAACCCCCATATCCCAAGAGTAGCCTTTGTTCCATAGCACTCCTAGTATCTAGAACCATTCCTGCCACGTGGTGAAGGCACAATAAATCTCTTCTCAATAAATCAATGAATCTATGTGATAGGAATTGAGACGTGGTGATCACAGAAGGTCCCCTGTGCCCAGAATCCTCCAATGGCTCAGAGAAAAAGCCAGTGCTTTACGATGGCCTCCCAGGCCTTACATGATGCACCCTTGGTGACACCACCACACCCAGGCGTGCTCTATTCTGGCCACGCAGGTGTCCTCTCTGTGTCTCTAGGTGTGGCTCAGTCTTTCTCAATGGGATCCTCGAGGACCGTCCTCTGAACCCTTCCCCATCCTCACATTCACCTTCCCAGGCTTCCTCCTCAGCACTTAGCACCATCAGACGTGTGCTATCCGCACCGTGTTTAACGCCTTTGCCCTCTATCTTCCCAACACTAGCCTTGCATTCATAGACACTTGCGTTCATATCCCCAGAGTGGTATCAGACACACAGTAAGTACTCAATGAAGGTTTGCTGAATGAACGAACAGACGACAGGACCTCAGATAAGACATCTCACCAAGTTGCAGGGGAGTCAACCACTTACCATGTTATAGCGCTCCAGGAGCTCGGGGGTCACAGGGTAGCGCAGACGCATCTTCCGGTAGAGGGCATGCTTCTCATAGTAATTGACGAGCTCCACCAGGCTCTCAAAGTAGGCAGAGGTCCCCAGCACGAAGTGTCTGCCGTCTCGGTTGATCCGGCAGTGCTTCACCTTGCCTCTAGCCCTGGGGGAGAGGAGGGGGACCACAGGGTGACATGCCAGGCAATTGCTCTACAAGCCCACTGATTAGAAAGAACCAACCTGTCATTCCTGCTTAGGGACTGAGTAAATAAACAGGCACAGCTCTGCTGGGAATACAAGGCAGAGTTAAAAACAGGGGGGTGTCTTTTCAAAACAGATCTAGAAGAATCTGTATCTCAGGAGAAATACTGCTGACTCAACAGCTAGCTCTCCTTGTCCTCCTTCTCCTCAACTACAGAACTTGATTTTGGGAGCACCCTAGAGGCCTAGATCAGGGGTGGGTGGGCCAAAAGTGGACAGACACCTACTTTTGTGTCTTACTGAGACACAGCTACTTAATTCATTTATTCTTATGTTGCCTATGGCTGTTTTCACACTACCACAGCAGAGTTGCAAGTTGCGGCAGAGATCAAATGGCCTGAAAAACTGAACATGTTTATTCTAGGTCTTAATGGGAAGTGTTTGACAATCCCTTCTCTAGAACATTTTGGGACTCAATCCTTGAATTCTTAAATCTTGTCTTCAATGGCTCAACTAGAGCAACAAAGACTTTTCTTTTTCAAAAAAGAAATTAGTCTTTCATCCATTTAAAACAAGAGAAAGGGCTCAGC